GGGCGCGCGCTGCCTGAGGCTCAACTTCCTTGGCCTCGACCCTGAGCTCCCCAGTGAACCCGGAGCCCTCGGCCTGGGGGGCGGGGTGGCGCCTGGCAGGCTGTGAGGTTAAGGGACCGAGCGATGCGCATGGGGACCTACGGGCTTGGGGATGAGGAACGAGGCTCACAGGACTGGGGGACGGAGGGATAGGACAGGGGCAGGACCCAGGGCTACAGAGCTGGAGACAGAAAACTGAGGAGCCAACATGGGGGGACAGGAGGACAGGACTGAAGACGGCAAACGATATGGAGGGGCGAGGGGACAGGGAGAGAGGGAAGGGGACGGGGATGGGGGTGGAGGACAGAACAGAGTGGCAGGCACTAAGGGACAGAGGGACACAAGAATGGGGGAAATGGAGCTGGAGATGCACCGAGAGGCAAGGATCCAGAACTGTGACTGGAGAACCTGGGGACTGGATGGCTGCAGGGGACAGAGAAGTGAGGGGCCCGAAGATGTGAGGTCTTGGGAGTGGGGCCGAGGTTGAGAGAGGGGAGAAGACCAGACACCAGAGGAGCCCCCCCAACCCGCAGGGGAGGCAGAAGCACAGAGAGTCAGAAGGCTGGGCCGCAGAGAGACTGGGGCAGGCCACACAGAAAGCAATGTCTCGTCTGGGTCAAAGCCACGGTGGCCAGGCCAGTCACTCTGGAGCTGGGGGAGGCAGGGAGGATTCCAGGAGAGAGCAGAGATGACTGAATCCTGGGACAGAAAGTGTCCAGGAGGTGACTTCTGGTGGGGAGGAGGGCCAAGGGAAGCAGAGAGGGAGCACCCAGGGCTTCCCACCACCACCCCTTAGCCCCACCTGACGCCCCAGGTGCAGCCCAGGATGCTGCTGGTCCTGCTCCCCATGCCCAGCCCTGTGCCCAACCCAGGAAGCCTGTTTCCGTGCTCCGTGCAGGAAGCCGGGGCTGCTGTCCGAGTCTGGAGCTGGGTTCTCACCAGGTAGCAGGGAGCATCCAACCCATGCCGCTCTTCCCAGATCAGACCACAGATCCTCCCTCACACACCCAGCACTCGGAGATCCCACCCTGCCCACGGGCACACACGGGCTGGTCGGGATTCACATGTGTAGACCGGGCTGGTGGAGACTCACGCTTGTGCACAGCATATGCCCAACAGTGCAACCATTACACATGTGCACAGACTCACACGTCCATACATGCCCGGATGCATGACCATGCACACAGGCATATGACATCAGGGTACGCAGAGATGTGTTGCACCACCTATATTAGGAGACCTGCAGACTTGCATTCATGCCCATGGAAATGCACACATACATTCATAGACATGGATAAAATCATCATAGTACTCTGTGAAACAGGCCAGCAGGGATTGGAGCTGTTGCAGGGTGGCTGAGAGGTGAGCTGGCAGGAGGGCAGGGCAGGGCTGGTGGGGTTGGTAGTGATAAGGCCCAGTCCCCTGAATACCAGGAGAGACCTGGGTGGAACTGGGACACAGGGGGCCTTGGGGCCCTCTGCACTGTAGCCTGCAAAATTAGGTGGGCCAGTTTTTGGTGTAGTGGAATTCTGAAGCCCATGGCAAGGCTTTGGGAGCCCGGTGGTGCACCCCAATTGCTTGCCTCAATGCTTTTCTTTGGGAAGGAACCCAGTATCTTCCTGGAATCCCAGCAACAAGTCTCAGGCCTTCTGGGCAGGTGACTTTTCCCAGGCCCCAGCGCTGAGGACAGAGCATGGGCCTGGTGGGCTTAGGTCCAGCAGAGGAGCCACAGTTGGCAAAGAGGCAAGGTCTGGCAAGAGGCAGGAAGGAAGTCTGTCTGGGAAGAGGGTAGACATTGCCCAAGGGCCAGAGACCATGTGCAGGCTCCTTGTGGGATGTCCAGGGTTCTTTCTGGCGTTGTCCCTGGACTAATGCAGAAGCAGACCTGGCCAGGGAGACTGTTGGAAATCAGGGAGGAGGCTGGGCTCAACTGGGGTCCAGCAGAGGTGACAGTGCCCAGCTTTCTCTGGTGGCCCATTGTCACGTTCCTCACAGTGGCCCTGCTGGGGTCACTGAGAAAGGGCCATGTACCTGAAGACATGCCCTGAGCCCCACTAGGCTCACAGACCCTTATTGCTTTCCGGGGTACTCTGTCCTCCCGTTCGGGGTGAACTCCAAGGTATTGACATGCTGGCTGACATCCCCTGGCCACCCCGAATTCTCTAGCCTCACCATCATGCGCTGTGTCCTCGGGGAATGTAAATCAATTTAAGTATTAGTCTCAGTGAAATGGAGTGGGAGAAGGTGACGGTGGTGGAGAAAAAGAGGAATCGCATAATGCCTTCCACAGTCAAACAGGGATGGCTTAGGAATTATCCGTGCTGCTCAGAGCGGGAGAGGGACCTGTTTGGTTCCCCCAGGAAAGCCTAGGCAGTCAGGACTAGGAGGCATTCCTGTGGGCATCTTTCAGATGGGGAAACTGAGGCCCAGTGGGGTTCAGTGATCTGTTTCATTGAAGGGGCCCAAGAGATCATGGAGTCCGGACCTCCCATTTTGCAAGTCGGGGGACAAGTTCAGAGAGGGGAATTAACAAAAGGCAGGAGAGTTGGCTGTGGTGACCTGAGGTCTGAATTCCCATGGGGTTCAGGCCCAGGCCAGGCCAGGCCAGGCAGGCCTAAAGCTGAACGCCATCTGGACCTACAAACCTCCTGCCGGCCCAGGGCTTCCCTAGAGAGACATCACTCATTCCCCCTATGGAAGGGGCTGGGATGGGTCAGAGGGGGAGAAGGGAAGGGCAGGGGAGGGAAGGGACAGAGAAGAGTCTCACAGGAATTGGATCAAGCAGCCCCGGAATCCTGTCGCCCTTCCCCACGCCGATGGAATCCGCATTTGACTTGTCTTTGGATTATCTGAACCCCCTGGCTGGCTGATGGAGTCAGCCACAGATGCCGTGGGGCTTCCTAGTGGAGGAAACGGCCCAGCAGTGGCCCTGGAGGTGGGGTTTTCCAGGGCTCGAACCCTCGGTGATGGGTATTAGCTGGGGTTGCTTCTGGGTAGGGGCAGGTCTGAGCTGGGTCTGTTCCATGCCAGGAGAAGGGGCCCTCTGGCCCCAAGGCCCACATCGGGGATGCAGCTTGGGCTGGGGAAACCCATGGCGCCCATGGCCCACCCGCTCTCCAGAATGGGCCCACCTGTATGGGGGAAGCCGCAGTGCAGCCCCCTCCCCCTCCCCCAGCAGCGGAGGAGAGAGCTGCCTGACCCAGATTTCTCTACAGTGCCTGCTAGTCAGGGAGGGAGGCGGGAAGCCTTTTCTCTGCTTGTGCCCCTGGTGTGGGGTTGGCTCAAGGAGGGGGCATCCCTGGTGGTCATTCACTCCATCTCCTGATCCCACCTGGCCCCCGGGGACCAGGGAGGAGCACAGAGCCCCTCCTTGGTTCTCAGCCCCTCTCCAGCCGGCATTCAGGGTCTCTGACAATGGGGTGGGAGGAGAAAATCAGCAAACAAGCGCATCGGCATCATCGTCACCCCAGCCTTTCCTGAGGACCCTTATCTTCATCTTTGAGGGGCAGAATCTGAGCTACCTGACACTCAGGCAGGATACCTGGCCTCTCTGTGAGGAAGTTCCAAGAGGACCCCGGCATTAACCCTCTGCGATCTGCCCAAGCCTGCTGACTAGGACAATTGGAAGCCCTAGGATTGTTGCTTAGAGGGGAGACTCATGGAAGACAGTATACTGAAAGCTATAGGACTAGAGTTACTAGGACTATGGGACCCTGTCATACAACTCACCAGGTAATTGAAAGGAAGCAGGGGCCCAGAGAGGTAAAGGAACTTACCCAAAGACACAGAGCAGATAGAGACAGCGGACGCCAGGGCCCTGTTTTCTAAAGGCCAGTGCAGTTTTATCTGCATAATTGAGCAGGTGGACATGAGGGACATGGGGAGAGGCTAGAAAGGGTAAGAGGTAAAGGAAGCTAGCATGGGGACCAGCTCTGGAGCAGACACTGGTGTATACTTTACAGGTGGCCTCTTAATCTTCATCTAAACCCTTAGGTATTATTAACCCACTTTACAGGTGAGGGAACTGAGGGTCAAAGAAAGAAAGAAAGGTCACTTGCTAGTAAGTGGCTGTGTTGAGACAAGAGCTCAGGAGTGTCTGACCCCAAAGGCAAGCTCTTTTATCTGCTTTGTTTTTGAAATGGCAGGGTTCCTGGCTGTAGGGCCTTCCTTAGAATAGACCTACTGTTTGGACCAGTGCCTTCCAAGGGGTGTGAACTCCCCAGAGCAGCTGCTCCTCAGGCCCAGCCTTGCAGGTGGGTGGTGATGCTTGTGGGTGCCACAGCAGGTGCTCAGACTTCTAGGTAACTTACTGTACCTCTGGGAGCTCAGATCTTCATCCGCTTAACGGAGATGCTAGTGACCCCTCTGACATTTTGAGGGTCACAGACGGACATCCAAAGCTCAGCTCAGCACGCAGTAGGTACACACTAGGGCACAGCTCTTGCCCTTCTGAATCCCTCCCTGTCACTGAGCTCAGCTGATGCCAGGCACCACTACCATGGGGGACACAGGACTCCGCAGCATAGTATTGGGATGCCATTTGGTCACTTAAGAGAGACAAGGGTCAGGTCATCCTCACAAAAGCCCCAAGAGATAGGAACCACCCTCAGGGAGGAAACAGAAGCTTGGGGTGTGAAGGGACTCATCCCACACCACACAGCTCCTAAGCAGCAGAACTGGAGTTCTGTACCCTGGCCCAGAAGGCTGGCTCTGGGCAGCTTGTACTCCAGGAGGGAGGAGGCTGGGCTACTCCAGTCTCTTGGGCAGCAAAGCTGGGAGCTACTGTGTCGGGGGCTGGGCACAGACCCACGTGGTGGCCTGGGAAGAGGGTCGCAGGGCCTGATGCCCTCCTGTCTCCTCTTTTACAGTGAACTTGTTGGACACATCGACCATCCATGGAGATTGGGGCTGGCTCACATATCCGGCTCACGGGGTGAGTGAGGGGACAGTGTCATGCCTCTGTGAGCAGAGAGAGGCTGCCCTGTGGAATCTTAGCATCAGGTGGATCCAAAGAAGGCAGAGGACCAGAGAGGTGAAGGAATTGACCCAGGATGTAAGGCTGCTGGGGACAGAGTGGCTGCTTTCTTAACAGTTTAGTGCACGTTTACCCTTGGGATTACAGACCCATCTCTGGCTTTGGGGGTCCTGATTCATGTCTGAGACCCAAGATGTGGGATCCTCACATCTGTGCCCTGGGCCTGCAGATTCATGACTTCCCAAGGCCAGGCCCAGCATTGCTTGAGACAGGGAAGCAGGGCTAGCAAGGCCCCAGCCAGGCATGGTCTCCTCCCTCCTGGCTGCCCTGCCCTCCCTAGAAGGTGCGTGGGCCTCTTGAGTGTCACATCTTCTTTTCTCTGTCAGGAGCATGGGGGAGCACAACAGCCCCACCATGGCTGGGCTGCCTGGTCCTATCTGGTCCAGGCCACCAGGTCCTTGTGGCTCCTGTGCCCACTGAGGTGTCCTTCCCACCTTCCAGGGAGGAGGCTGCATATTCCACACCCTGACTGTCTTCCAGCGCCATGGGCCCCCGCAGCGCAGCCCGGAGAGATCGCAGCTCTGCCATGGTGCTCCGGGGTCCCGGCCATTTCTTCAGCTCCTGTCCCAGTCTGTAGAGAGGAGCAAGCGTGCAAGGGCCACCTGGGCGTGGCGGGTGGGGCGGGATGGTGCCCACCGTGGCACTGTGCTCACACACAGTGCACTCTCACTGGGGAGAGGCTTCATCGCCGGCATTGTAAGTGTGTGTGAGGGCTCTCATGTTGTGCATGTGACCTCCCACCGGTGTGCTCAGAAACACACATACGCGCACGCACGTCCCCAGCACAGATGCAAGTGTGTGGAGCACACTGACTCCTTTCAAAGACACTTTCAGCTTCCACGGCTGGAGGACAGAGGAACAGGAATGCTGGTAGCGGTACCGCTAACGGTGCTATGAGGGAATCTTTCTGGACTTCAGGGCAATTTTCCTCCGGGGTAGCGGTCAGGCCAGAGCCCTGCTCCCCTCTCTCTGGAGTCTCATTAGCAGCCAGTAGTAGCTGAGCCCCCATCACCACCCCAGGGCTCTGGGGAGCTGGCGGCCCCTGTGGGTGCTGACTGTACAGGTCCAAGAGCCGGGAGGGCGTCTACTCACCTTCCAGTGGGCCAGCCCCGCCTGAGGAGAGGCTGGGCCCTTGGGCTGGGGTCTCCTCTGTGAAAGGCGTTGGCAGCGTACACCTGTGTGGCCCATGACAGAGGCCCACCCAGCTCGGGCTGCTGGCTGACTCAGCGTTTCCTTCATCCCTGTGGCTAGCAAGGGGCGCACTGGCCCTAGACTGCTACTGGGGTCTCTGTCACAGCACTTGGTACTATGCCCGAGGGAAATGAGGAGGGGTGGGGGGGCGTTGAGCATGTGGGGAGCCTGCAGGACTTGCCCTTTGGACATCATACTCAGGTGATTCAAACTCCTTTTGTTTATGGACACTAAACCATGGTACCGTGTCCTCCCATTTTACTTAGGATTTAGAAGAAATAATAACAGGTTCACATAGCTCTTAACAAGTCAAGATGCCACATGTAATCCCAAAACCAAGCCTTCTAGATATTCAGGGCCGGTTTCACAGAGGAGGATGCTAAGGCCCAGATCAGTGAGAAGACTGCCTGTCACCAGCAGGCTCCAGGTGGTGACTCACGTCTGCCCTGGGTCCCTTCTCCACCTTATAAGTCAGGTGGCCTAGCTGTGGGGCTGGGGTAGGCCTTCGTGGTCCACCGAGCCAGGCTCAGTCACCGTGGGGACCGGGGTTGTTCATGGAAAACAGGAGGCTGCAGTTTGAGGCCTGGTCCCGAGGCCAGGCTCACAGTGCCCCTGCCCAGGAGGTCAGGGAGGGGCCTGGGAGTCCTGTTTAATACATTTTCCAGGTGATTCTCCTGCCCAGCCTGGAGGAGGGTCTTTGGCCCTGGAGGTTCTGTGTGCCCCTCTGCTTCTGGAGTCTGCCCAACTGTCTTGGTTCAGAGGTCATCCAGGGCTGACTCCAGCATTGGATGATGCCAGGCAGAAGGGCAAGGGTGCTGGGCTCCAGTGGCCGGCTCTCTGCCTCCTGTTGCCAGTGTGACTCAGGCTGGTCACTGGCCTCGCCTTGACCCCCTTTCATATCATGGGGCCATCACAGAGCCTGCAGCTGTCTCCAACGAACACCTTACCAATTCGAATCTGAGTTAAGCGAGGTTAAGCCACACTGGCATCAGGGGACGCTGGGCCAGACTCCACATGTTTAGCTACACTGCCTTCCTCCCTCCGTTCCCCGATCTTCCACCCACCAGGACACCTGAAGCTTGCCTGGCAAGTCAGCAGCTACTGAGGTGAAGGGCATGGTCATACCTCCTCACTACCTCCCAGAGCAGACAGAAGGAGCAGGCATTAGCAACCCCATTTCACAGATGAGAAGCCCTCAGAGGGGATGTCACCTAGCAAGGCCACATAGCTAGCTTGCTGAGTGCTGTTCTAGGAAGAGCGCAGAGCTGGGGGAACAGTGTGCTGGGGTCAACTTCTGGGTCTCAAGGGGCAGCTGGGAGAGTGGCACCCTGTATGGATTAGGCTGCCACAGGTGGTGAGCAGGCCACTTCTGCCCTTTCGCTGGGCCTCTGGGAATCTGTGCCACTCCAGGCGTCCACAGCAGCTCTCAGAGCTGGCAGGTTGGGCCGGGCCATTGGCACTGATGGGGAGGCTGGAGCGGACTCAGATTGAGCTGATTAATTTATCTGGGGCCCTGGCAGGAAACAGACAGGGAGCAGCTGGCAGGCCCTTTCATGTTCCATTAATTGTGACAGTGACTTTAACCCCAGATGTGTACACTGCTGCCCGGAGGTTCTGGCTGCAGTGTGGGGTGTGAGCCAGGACTCCTTCTGGGTGGAGGTCAGGAAGCATAACCTTGTGCGGGGAAGGTTGGTGTTCCAGGTGCTCCTTTGGACCGGAACCCCTCCTCCAAAGACCCTGGAAGCAAACTGTGGCCTGGGAGTCACTGCCAGTTCAGCAGCATATCTGTCCCCTGATCGTGAAGTGCCTTCCTGTGCCAGGCCTGAGCTCAGCACTTCGTAGGCCTCACAGAGGTGGGGCCTGCACCAACCCCGCTTCACAGAGGTGGGCACTGAGGGTAGAGACCACATGCGGACAGAGGGACTTGTGACAGGCAGGCAAGGACTCAGGATGCCATGGCTCCCACCCTAGCACTCAGGGAACAAGCTCAGAACTGCCCAGAACCTCAGAGCATCAAGAGGAGTTGTCTTCCAGCCCGGTACCCCCTGAAGCAATAGGATCTTTAGTTCAAGGGCAACTGCACATGGGGGTCCGATGGAGAAGGCCGAGCTGTGGCATCTGTGGCAACACCGACCCCAACTTCTGCCCTTGGCTCCCACCTGGGACCTCTGGACTCAGCCCAGTGTCTGCTCTCACCAGTAGCGCAGCCAAGGGAGATGGTTTCTTCCCTCCTGACCCAGGGCCAGGCCACCCAGTGGAACATGCAGCTGCCCACATCCAGCTGCCTGGGGACTGGCCGGGTATCTTGAGAGATACAAGTGAGATTCCCCCCACCCCACCCTGACACCACCTTGTCTGGTGGACTTGGCGGCTCCTGATGGCAGGAGCATTTCTGGCATTTTTCTCTTAGTTTTCTTTTGTTTTGGAGGGCTGGGGATCAAACGACAGGCCCTGTCCATTCCACGAAAGCACCCTACTGCTGAGCTAACACCCCAGCCCTATGAGTTTTTAGGGGGTGTTTTTGTTTTTGTTTTTGTGGTGCTGGGGATTGAACCCAAGGTCTCCGGCATGGTAGGAAAATACTTTGTCACTGAGCCATAGCCCCCAGCACTACTCTTTTTTATTGTGGTAAAATACACATAACATAAAATATACCATTTTAAACCTTAATTTTTTTGTTTCAATTTCTGGTATTGGGGAATTGAACCGAGGATCTTTGCATTGAGCTACATCCCCTGCCTTTGTTATTTTACATTTTTTAAAATTTTGAGACAGTCTCACTATGTTGCTGAGTTGCCCAGGCTGGGCTGGAACTTGTGATCTCCTCCTGCCTCAGCCTCCCCAAAGTGCTGGGATCACAGGTGTGCAGCACCACCCCTAGCTCATCTTAACCATGTTTAAGCATACCCTTCAGTGGCATTAAATACATTTACCATCGCCATTACCCATCTCTAGAACTCTTCCTGCCTTGTAACATCGAAATTCTGCACCCATTAAACAGTGACTCCCTCTCCCCTTCCTGCAGCCCTGGCAACCACCATTTTATTTTCTATCTGTGATTTTGACTCACCTAGGCGCCTTATATAAGCGGAGTTATACAATGTTGGTCCTTTCATTTCTGGCTTGTTTCATTTAGCATAATGTCTTCAAGTTTGATCTATGTTGTAGTATATTTCAGAATTCCCTTCTATAGCCGAATAATATCCCACTGTATATAAATACTATATTTTATTTATCCACTCAGCTGTTGATAGATGTGTGGGTTACTTCTGCGTTCAAATTTTTGAGGTTTCTTTTTTTATTTAAGTTTTTGCTGTGCTGGGATCAAACCCGGGGTTGTACCCATGTTAAGCGAGTGCCTAGTCACTGAGCTGCATCCCTCGTGGCACATTTTAGCGATAGTGAACAATGTGACAAGCCTGGGTTTCCACACACTTCTTCAGGACCCTGCTCTCAGTTCTCCCGTGTAGGCTCAGAATCGCTGGTTCCTACAGCAAAGCTCACTTTAATTTTTTCTGAGGAGCCACTATCCTGTTTTCTGCAACAGCTCCACAGACACACAGAGGTTCTGCTTTCTTCACATTCTCAGCCATACTCTGTTGTTTTCTGGTTTTTGTTTCTTTTTAATATAATAGCTACCCTACTGGGCATGAAGTGGGATCTCATTGTGTCTTTGATTTGTATTTCCCCAGTGATTCGCAGCACTTAGCATCTTTTCATGTGTGGTTTGGCCATCTGTATATCTCCTTTGGAAAAATATCTGTTGAGGCCCTTTGCTTATTTTTTAATTGGACTGTTTATTTTCTGTGGTTGAGTTGTAGGAGTTTTCCAGAGTTCTCCTTCGGATATTACTCCCTTATCAGATAAATGATTTGCGTGGGTCGCCTTCCAATTCTGTTGAGAGTGCCTGGTCTCTTTCTGGATTACTCGCGCCCAGCGGGCAACCAGCACAGGAGCAATCACACCTGACTCCCCTGCCTCCTGCGAGGCGTTGACTGGACCCAGGCCAGCTCAAGAGCCCACAGCCTTGAGTAGCGGCCAGGGAAACAGCAAGAACAGCAGGGCAGGGCCAGGGATGTTGTTCAGTGGTGCAGCACCTGCCTGGCAAGCACAAGGCCCTGAGTTGAATTCCGGTACCTAAAAAAAAAGGAAAAAAAGAACAGCAGGGCCAAGCGAATCTTCGGTCAGGCAGTCACTCAACAAGCAATGGAACAGGAGGGCCTGCTGGGGAGTTAGAGGTGACGCGCAGCACACACCACACGGCCAGGTTTTTATATTACAAGATCCAGTTGTCAGCTGACAATGGAAATGACATGTGAGGCAGGCCAGTGTCCCAGCACCACCTCTGCTTCCCACTAGCTCTCTGACCTCAGCACTGCAGTGCATGAGTCTGAGCCTCCGTTTCCCTAAGTCACAGGCTCTCTGAGGTCCAGCAGTTGTGACTGTCCCTGGTGTCCACACCCCCCCACCCCCGCACGTGTGTCACGTGACTTGGGGTTGGCAGGAGGACAGAACCTCTCCCTCAGGAGCCTGTGCTCTTTGCCCACAGTGGGACTCCATCAACGAGGTGGACGAGTCCTTCCATCCCATACACACCTACCAGGTGTGCAACGTCATGAGCCCCAACCAGAACAACTGGCTGCGCACCAGCTGGGTGCCCCGCGATGGCGCGAGGCGGGTCTACGCGGAGATCAAGTTCACGCTGCGCGACTGCAACAGCATGCCCGGCGTGCTGGGCACCTGCAAGGAGACCTTCAATCTCTACTACCTGGAGTCTGACCGCGACCTGGGCGCCAGCACGCAGGAAAGCCAGTTCCTCAAGATCGACACGATCGCGGCTGACGAGAGCTTCACCGGCGCTGACCTGGGCGTGCGGCGGCTCAAGCTCAACACGGAGGTGCGCGGCGTGGGGCCGCTCAGCAAGCGCGGCTTCTACCTGGCCTTCCAGGACATCGGGGCCTGCCTCGCCATCCTGTCTCTGCGCATCTACTACAAGAAGTGCCCCGCCATGGTGCGCAACCTGGCAGCCTTCTCGGAGGCGGTGACTGGGGCCGACTCGTCCTCTCTGGTGGAGGTGCGGGGCCAGTGCGTGCGTCACTCGGAGGAGCGGGACACGCCCAAGATGTACTGCAGCGCCGAGGGCGAGTGGCTGGTGCCCATAGGCAAGTGCGTGTGCAGCGCTGGCTACGAGGAGCGGCGGGATGCCTGTGTGGGTGAGCGCGCCCAGGCTGGGCTCGGGGGTGGGGGGGTCCTGGGAGGATGGGTAACCCCGGGAAGCAGCTGCTCCGTGCACAAGCGCGCTGTGTGCCTGGGGAGAGGGGATGGAGGTAGAGCTAAGGGAAGCTGTGTTACTGGATATGCCCCTGAGCCAGGGAACAATACTGCAGGCTAACGCAGGTCAGGCACTGTTCTAGGCACTTTGCATGTTCTAATTCATTTAATCCCTTATAGATAAAGAGATGGAAGCACAGAGAGTGAGGTAACTTGCCCAAGGTCACACAGCCGGGAGGCAGCAAAACTGATTTCTACCCACAAGTCTGAATCTGGAGTCTGGACTGGAAATCACTAAAGTTCTAAGCAGTGGAGTGGAGGGACGTGGACCAGGGGCCTGGGGGGTGTGCACAGATAGGGGTCATTATGAAGGTATCGGGCAGGGAACCTGGGGCCACAACCTAAGTTGGACCTGTTACCAGCCAGCTGGTTCAAGCTGCTTGTGTTTGGAGGAAACTGTCAGGTCCCATTGAGGATGCCTGAGCACCCAGTCTTAGACCAGTGTGTGTCGTGGGTGTACTGGGAGGCACCCATGTCGGGCCTGGGAGCAGGTATCTTCATGGGGGAGCCCAGAGCCCAGAAAGTGTGCATGTGTGTGCCTGTGTGTGGTCACCAGGCATCCTGAAAGAGGGGCCATTGGACAGGCAGCTGGTATTCAGCTGGCACAGGGCTCAGCCTGGTTTCCCTGCCCCTCCTGATCCCCTGGGGTGGTACACATGCCCTTCAGCCACCCAGGCACAGGGAACCCTGGCTGCGGAGCCAGAGGAGGTACAGGGGAGGGCATGTTCCCATGTAGAGGTCAAAAGAGACTAGCATCCTCAATTTCAACTACTCGAGAGGCTGAGGCAGGAGGATTGAAATTGGAACCCAGCCTGGACAATTTAGTGGGTTGGTGAAACCCTGAATCAAAATTTTAAAAGCTCCAGTGGGACTGAACCCCAATGACCACTAGGAATGTTCTCCCTACTACTAGACAGTCCCCAGGACTACAGTTAGGGGAAGGGAACTTGGGCCTCCCTGCTCTGCTCCCAACAGGCAGGCAGATTTCCTGGGTGCTGACGGGACTGAGCAGGTTGGAGGCTGACACCAGTGGGGAACACACAGGCAGTTCTACCCCCGCCATGACCAGCTGGGAGTTGTCTCGCACAGAGGTCTCCTCGGCCAGCTCTTCCTCGTTTTCAGGCCTTCTGTCTTTCTCAACAAACCTTTCTTCACATCCCCAGCTGCCGCGAGTCTTTACCCGTCGTGCACCCTAAGCCCCGGAGTGCCCCTGTGTATTGGCCTTTTTCTGGACTTGTTTAGCCCATCACGACTGTCCAGACTACTGGCCTCTTGTGGTCCTTGTCACAGACACCCGGTGCTCCTAGTGTTTGCTTGCTGCTGGGCAGCACCGACCACAAACATCCCTGTCACCTTTGGAGCTTACAGGGAGATACTCACACTGAGGTCCACTGCCCATTGCAGCAAGGCAGGGATTACAAATCTTACAAGTGGAATGACTGAGGCACAAGACATAGTGCCATCTGCGTGGGTCTCGCCGTGGGTGAGAGGTGGGGCTGGGGCTGCTGTCAGACCTGTCTTGATCTGCGCAGGTGAAGGCTTTTAGCCTCGCCTGGCCTGCCCCTGGCTGATTTCCATGCCAGGATATTGGCTTCCAACATCCCTTTATTCTGATGGGATAATAAAGCACCTTGGTGACAGTTTTCAAGTGTCTGCCATGCGCAGGGACTTCAGTGAATGCTCTTAGGTGAGTTATACACTCCCTTGGGCATCTGTGTCCTGGGCACCAGGGATCTGGCAGGGAGTCCCTACCTCTGGGGAGTTCACAGAGCTTCTCACCCTTACAACAGCCTCTCGGCAAGGAGTTATAGCCCCAGTGTACCCATGAGAGACACCCAGGCCCCTCACCTCAGGACCAGTCTGCCAGACTCCAGAGTCCAGCACTGCTTCTTCTGTCCACCAAACCCCCTTCAAAGCTCACTACCCTCCTGCCAGGCCACACTCAGAGGTTAGTGACGGGTGCAGCGCTAGCCGTGACATGGGCGGGCCAGTGCGCACCTGTTCACAGTCAGTGCCACCCTGGCTCTGACGTTGCTGGGAGCATAAATAATGCAGTGCTTCGTCCCACATGCCCTGAGACGTACTGGCCTGTGGGAGGGTGGCAGGGTTAGGCTCCACAAGGGCTGCGGAAGTGGGAGATGGGCTCAGACAGGGAAGGTGTCCTGCCCCAGGTCCACAGCACCTCAGGGACAGAAAGTCCAGGGCTGGAGCAGCAGGACATCCCAAGGCTGGGAGAGGCCAAGGCCAGGCCCATTTCCTTGTACTAGCACATTAATAAAAAAAGAATAAAGAAACGCCAAGGCTTGGTGAGGGAAATGGTAGCATATTTTGAATTTTGCATTTAAATCGTAATACAACATAATTATTCTAGTTGCAAGATAATTACAGGTTTTATAAAAAAATATTAATTCATAGTGCACTACAGGCAGAACAACTCAAGAAGGAACGCCAGTTTGAAGTTACAGGAGGGAAGACATTTTCCAGCCCTGTTGGCAGCTTCTGTGACTGTGTCACCCTATTTGGAGTGAACAGCACAGGTCCCAGACTGAGGCCCTCTGCAGATGGAGCAGCCCTACCTTAGTCCCTTTCCCCACCCCATGCAAAGCCCCAGCACCTCCCTGACAGACATCTGAGAGCAGGGAGGTGGGCAGAGCGGGGGAATCGGGCCCAAGCAGTAGCTGGGGACAGCATAGGGATCTTCCTGGCCACCTGAGACAACCCCCCACCCTTCCCACAGAAGGTCTGCAGGAGCCCTCTGGAGGCCCTTGGGCCTCTGCCAGTCCGAGGACCTCCGTCCCTGCTCTCTGAGCAGACAGTGGAGAGGAAGGGCTGGGAGGGATGCTGGCTTGCCTGCCCCTGGGCCCTGCCTTCCAGTTAACGAGAGGAGGGACCTGCAGCCAGAGCTGGGGCACAGCCCTTCTTCTCCTGCCTCGGGCTCCCATTCTCTCAGCTGTCCTCAGAGCTCCCTGGAAAGTGTCCCAGACAGAGGCAGTGAAGCCCCAGAGGAGAAAGACCCTCATGTTGCATGGTTCTGCAGAGGCCTTGCTGAGAGCCTCTGAACCAGAGAGGTGAAGTGACCAGCCCAAGGAGACACAGTGAGGAGTGGTTGATGGAATCTCACATCTCCCAGCTCTTCAACAAGAAAGCTCCTCACACCACCGGGTCCCTGACCCAGTGACCTCCCCTAACACCTGGCTGCTTGCCTCTCCGCCCAGGGCTCCTCCAGAAAGGGGACAGACTCATCCTCCCCCATGGAGCACAGTCTGAAGTCCCTGCTGCCATCTTTCCTGTCACCTGGACGCAGAATATAAATCACCCTCTGCGGCCCTAATCATCTTTCTATAAATATCAGAGCCTCATTTCAGAGGGGAGCATGAGCAAGGAGCTCTTTGCCTTCCTGGCCGTGTTTAAAATCTGATTTAGAATTAATTCCCTTTGGTTGTCCACTGGCAGACACCTTATTTGTCAAACCTCAAGCTCTTTGCAGGAGAGAGCAGAGAGGTGGCCGGGGCCACAGGCAGCTGCTGGCCTGACAGGTGGCCTGGCAAGGTGCCCTCGGCCGGGGCGGGAGCCCCTCCTGGCCCAGGACCCAGTGTGTGGGCCACACAGACTGGAAGCCTCGCAGGTCGGTGGCAGGACCAGGCCCCGGCCCAGAGCTACTCCATCTGTCTCAGCCTTGAATTTCCAGCCCACCGGCCGGGTCTCTGGGCTCCCTGAGGCCTGGTGATTAGTATTCTTATTAAAGATTATTTTATTTTCATTGCGTGGATTAATCTGGCCTTGCCACGGGACAGCCATGTGGGTATTAGCTGAGCGTAAGGGAACCGCTGACTGGCGAGTGACAGAAGTCAAACAGCTACCGCTACGCTCAGGGGAAGGCATGGCGAGGTGGCTGGGGAGAGGTGGCAGCAGTGTCCCAGCCTGGCTTGGCTGGCAGCCTGGGACCCTGCAAGGTCCTGGAGCTCTCGGAAGCAGCTTCCTCCTGCCCAGCGGTCACACTGATGCCAACTACATCCGGCTGTAGCAGTAGTGCCAGGACTGCCTGCATCAACACATCTTCCCTTCTGGGTTCCCTTGGAGTGGGGGGAGGTGCCACAAAAGCGGGGCACGTTTTCCCCATCCCAGCAGCTGCTGAGCCCCTTCCAGTTCCCTGGCCTCCATCTCCAGAACCACTTAGGGGTTCTCGTTTCTCCTAATTCCAGATTTTCTTTCAAGTTTGTAGAATTTAGAAATTAGCCCGGCTTTGGCTATTACAATAAAGAGATCCCAGCAGTATCCAAAAAAGAGATCTTGTGAAGTAATGTTTTCAAGTAAAACTTCTCTCTAGCACTGAGGCTTCCGGGAGGGGAGTTTTTTTGCAGCAAGAACCCAAGTAAGCTTCCTGCTGTCTCCACTGTGAAGGCCTTCAGTTCTGAGGATGCAGCTAGGTGCTGCCTGGCTGGGTGGAGCCCCTTGGCCCCCCTGGGGTCTCTGCACAGAGCAGACAGTGATGGGATCCACTCAGTTGAAAAACTCCGACAGTGTTACACAGCCTCTGCTCTCAGCAGCCTTGTGTCAGGTGCTGGGGACTTGCAGATGAGCAAGGGTCTCCCTCCAAGACTGCAGTCCAGGAGGAGAGTGAGACGTGGGTAGGACATGCAGCTGTGGTGTCACAGATGGAGCAGGAGCTGCGGGACAGGGAGGGGCATGGTGGCTTTAGAGTGTGTATGTTCAGTGCATGAGTGTGTACACACATGCATGTGTGTGTCGTGGAGAGGTCCAGGAACACTGCATTGAAGGAATAGTTACAAATAATCTTGAAAGAGGAATTCAACAAGTGGACAAAAGAGAAAAGACATCCCAGGAAGAAGGCATGGCACATGCAAAGGTCCTGAGGCAGGAAACAACCTGCTGCTAATGGTTTAGTTTGGCCTATGGATAGGGCTGAAGGAGGCTGCAAGTAGTTTGGTCCAGTAGGGAGGGAACTGGATGCCAGGTTTTCTTGTTAGGCAGGAAGTCCTTCGGGGGTTGAGCAGACAATGACAGAGCAAGGTGCACATCTTAGAGATTCCCTCAACCTACAGTGTCCCCACTCCCTCCATAGCTGGCCTGTTGTTACCAGCCCTTCCCTACCTCCTCAGGAATGTAGCTCCTCCAGGAATCCTCTGTTTCCCTGCTGGACACAATCACAGTTCCATGTGTCCTGGGCATCCTCTAAATGGCAGCTGCTGGAAGGTGGAGGCCCTGTGGCTCTTGTTCAGGGCAGCGTCTCAGTGCCTGGAGCAGCCTGGTCCTGACCGTGTTCTTTGTGGGAGTAGAGCAGGTGACTGGTCCACTGGCAAGTAGGGAGGTGCGAGGTAGGCGGAGCTGGAGGGCAGGAGCCACGCTCCCTGCGTGGTTGCGTGAGGAGCCTGGCTTTAGCCCTGGCTCTTCTCACCTGTGTCTGCTGTGGTTCGAGGACCGGGAGACTTCTGCACCCACCTCTTTTCCTGTCACATTCCCTACCTAGCTTTTATATCCTGTCCAAGATTTTGGTTCCTCTGATTCTCAGTCCCCTGATGTTGACCCCAAGGACCAGAGTCCCGTGAAGGACAGGATCCAAGGCTGGCTATGGGGTGGGAAGGCCAGTCGTAGGAGGGGTTGGGGAATTTGGAGAAGACCGTCTTGGGGTTGGGACTTAGATATTAGGGCCCAACTCAGCTCTGCCCTCAATGTGCTGTGCAGCTCTGCGTAAACCACAGACCCTCTCTGTGCTTCAGTCCCTCCATCTGCAAATGTGGGGGCCCAGGGAGAGCAGCCCCCAGGCCTGCCAGGGTGGCCCGGCCTGCTCACCTGCAGCTGTCTTCTTCCCCACAGCCTGCGAACTGGGCTTCTACAAATCAGCCCCGGGGGACCAGCTGTGTGCCCGCTGCCCTCCACACAGCCACTCCGCAGCCCCTGCTGCCCAGACCTGCCGCTGTGACCTCAGCTACTACCGTGCCACCCTGGACCCACCGTCCACAGCCTGCACCCGTGAGTACCACCCCAGCCCCGGCTCCCTCGAGCCAGGGCTGGGCCGGCACCCATGCCGGGTCTCAGTGCTCCATCGGTGGTGCAAGGCCGGGTCTGTGGGGCCAGAGCCCAGTCCGGGTGGACAGCACTATGACTCCTCAGTGGTGGCCTGGACCCCTCTGGACTCCCAGCCTCTTGTCATGTGTCACCTGATGTCTCCCTGGGAGAACCTCTCCATCCCTCCTTTGGTGTCTCCTTGCACTCCAGAAGGCAGATGCCTCCCAGCACAGGGCAGCTTGGTCGCCTCTGATGATGCTGATGTCCCGGTGAGTGGGTGATGAGCCAGGTTCTGACCTGTGGTGCAGGGAACTTGGAGCAGCACCCTGTCACCACCATCCTGGGTGGACCACGGAGCTGCTGTGTGCTGCTGTGTGCCGGAGTGTGTGTGTGTGTGTGTGTGTGTGTGTCATTCTGTGTGCCCCAGGATACCACAGGGATGGTGTGACTGTGTGTGTCTGAGTGCAGACCTCTGCGCGGTGTTTGTACACCTCAGTGCGGGTGTGCAATGTGCACGTGTAGAGGATCCTCGTGGGCTACATGTAGGGGGGTGCACACACCTGGACACCTGTCTCGTGAACTCAGCAGGTACCAGAGTGCATGTGCTTGCCTAGCCTTGCAAGGAAGTATGGGCCTAGAGAGCAGGGGCCGGGGCTGTGTACCTGAGGGGCTCGGGGATTCCATCGCCTGCCTGCCTGTGCCCGCAGGGCCATGTGACTGTCTCAGTAGGCTGTGTACCAGCTCCTCCATCCCGTCCTCACCCTGCCCCACAGTGGCTACCCATAGCCCACCCAGCCTGTGGCTGAGCCCACAAAAAGCGCCCCGCTTACCAACCCTGGCTCTGCATCCTCGACACGCCCATCCTCCTTCCACTCTTCTGGCCAGACCTAGGCAGTGTCCCCACATGGGGCCTGTCAGGCCGGAAGGCAGCTGGGTGACAGGGTGGCGGCATGGGCTCCTCAGGCGAGGGGAGCCCAGCTCTCAGTGATGGTATTTGTTCACAGCTGGCTGGGCTCTGGTCTCTTCCCAAACCCTGTAATTCAGTGCCTTAAGACTGGAAGGCTGCAAAAGACTGGGCTTTTGCTATTCCACACCCTCCTGAATGCAAACTCCTCTTCTCCGCAGAATATAGGTCTGTGATTCTGAGATCCTATGGTGCTAGTTTCTAAAGATCTCATGTTCCCTGCCTAGGATTCTGAGAGTTGGAATTCTGAGGCCCGGGGTCCCCATAGCCCCTCAAGTCCTCCCAGCTAGGACTAAACAGCCCTACTCCATGCTCTGCCCCACCAGGTGGCGCCTCTCTTGGCCCAGAGTCTTCGTGCAGCTGAGACAGAGCCCCATGCTGGGGTTGGGGAGGGGCTTCTTGGCACACACAGCCTTGGGGAGACTCCCGGGGCACTTTCTGGGCTCCACTTTATTCCATGCCGAGTGCTCAGTGGCAGTTTACATTAAGTCCAGCACAGAAGCTGAGGGGATGCCTGGGTGCAAATAGCCAGGAGAGGGGGCTCCTCGGAGCACCCAGGACTGAGGCGCTCCCTCCTGCTCTGGATGGAAGTTTTGGGTCCTGCTTTGTGCCTGCTTGGGTCCGAGCCCAGACCCTGACACCTGTGTTTCTGATGGCAGAAACACAGCCCCTGTCCTTGGGGATTGTCCAAAGGACAGAGTAGACATGACCTTATTCT